CAGGTCAGTTTGCGTGGCTTGCCTGTAAAATTTCCCTCCATAGACTAGAACGCGACCGACTGCTTGTTTGCTGCAGGTGCACCGCAACCGTTATCCTCCTGTGTGCCTGTGACCAAGAGCTTCACTGGTAACTGACGCACAGATGTCCGCAGGCGCCATAAACTTTTGGTAGGTGGATTTTGCTTCTCTGTTTCCTTTCCCTTCATAGGTGCTGTTTTCTGCCCATACATTTGCACCTCAGTTCATCTTCTACCCCGCTCGTTCGCCGCAAACACCAGCTGTAAGCGTATCCATGTGTCAAATACCTTTCCAGAGCCTCACGTGTCCTTTCCTTCAGTGTCCGCAGTCTCATGTGCACCATGTGTCGACAGTGGAGAGCAAGAAACGACCGTCCGGTAAGCAGGCACACATACATACATGTAAATGAATATTTTCTAAGGCTGCACAGCATCACCATGTTCAGCTGCTCCATCCGCTTTCACGACGTCAAACAAGGGAACGCTACGTTTGCCGTCCTTAGTGCTTACATCAAGGGAACGCGACGATGGCCCTTTTAAGGGCCCACCATTTTTAGTGTCTACGCATTGCAGGTAGAGTGCGTCCATAGACACGCTCCCCACAATGACGCGGGTATTAGCGTTTGTAAGAACTTAGATCACCTCGTCCTCCTATTCCATGTGGCATACTATTCACCTTTCCAGCTACCTTTCCTATAGCGAAACTATCACTTTACCTCATAGCTATTTCAGCCTCTCACAGGTGGGTTGGCAGGTTATGAAGCCCGATGTACAACAGCCACCTTGTCTCCCTGTACTTGCCACATACTTTTCGGGGTACCATGGCACCCCTAATCATTCAGCGTATTCTTTCACGCCTACACCTAAAGAAAGCACCTATACCCCATAACAGTGATCCTCTGTTTACGCGACGCTGTGCATTCGTCCGCCGCATACGCGTGAACACTTTGCTTGGGATTGGGCGACGATGCAGTCTTTGCCTTTTATGCTCTGAGTTACTTAACAACCATATCGTATGCTTGCGCTTCATCTGTTTGCTGTCCTCTCTTCATAAAACCTTTCTTAACTCTCTGCTGTGAAGCAAACATAACACATGTGGCCTGCGCACAGTTGCTCCATTGCCTCTTCCTTTTAAACGTCCACTTATCCATTGCTTGCTGCAACGTCTGTGACGCCTGCTGATGTAGGATTCCAGATCTTTCACTGGCATTTTCCAGCCCAGTCTACATTAGTAATAAAATTTTAGCACCATAACAGGACTCAGTATCTGCGCGCCTCTGACTCATATGCTGCGATGTCCTCAGCAGACTAAATTTATGCATGCACTCCGAGTGTTTGGTGTCCTTCCATATAAACTTTTCAACTTTCTCTAGCACTTTTTCCAACTCTTCAAGTCCGTGGTCAGCCGCTCCTTAGCCTCTCTATTCTAGACGTTCTCATATCTCTTAATGGTTTTAACGTCTCCGACTTTTACCTGTAAGCGTCCAGCTATTAGACTAGCTTTCCCAGGCTCTTTCCAAAGTAGTAGTACCCAGGCACCATAGCATGAATTGTGAGCTTATACACCGCCGTGTTCAGCATTATGTGATATGACCCCCTGCAAGCAACTCACAGTATGCTTGCATTCTTCTTACATGTAGTCCTTTCTATATTCTACCTTCTTAGACCGCGTCTGGCGACCTTCTTTACCTCATTTGGTCAGTGCACCTCTGCCCCATGCTAGGTGCACAGCTGTCACTCGTCTGTGACACCTAATTAATAGTAGTTCAGCATTCTCACTGGCTTCTCCCGGCTCAGTCTTCCCAAGTTTTATTCCAGTAACACCACAGCATGATCTTATTATATGCGCGTCGCCGCGTCTTCGCCTATTTTTGCTCTAAACTATTTAACAGCCTTAAAGTATGCCTGGGCTTTATCCGTTCGTTGTCCTTTCTTCATGGAGCATTTCTTTGCTCTTTTCTCTCTTGCAAGCATATCCATGTATTCAGCGCAAGCCGCTGTTTTGCCTCACCCTTCTTATTGTTCATTTATCCCTTACTTGATATATTGTCTTAGCCCTTATTACCGGCAGTCATCCAACTCTCGGGCTAGCATTCGCTGGCATTATCCAGCTTGGTGTTATTAGCTTAGCACTCTAGCTGCTGCGGTTAGGCCTCACTGCTCTGATACTCTGAGCAACCTTACTCTACTCTTGCATTTCGGCTATTCCCTGAGCTTCCGTCAATTAATGATTCTTAGCCTCTTAGTTCTTCACTCCTCTCACTTGGTAGCACACAGACGCCCGTTAGCTTCACATTTCTAGGTGTTCATTTCTCACCATTTTCTTAGGACCCTAGTACGACTTGTTTCTCTGCGCGACGCTACATATATATTGGTTCCGCACGTTCCCTTTCTTTTAACTGATCTTTAATACTTTACTTCCATCGACCAATCCTTTCTCACCTAGTAATCTGGGTCAGTTTTTGCAGCAAAGGTTTCGACACCTACCTTTGTAGGAGGTTAGCTCTCATAAAGCTTTCCTATTTCAATAGGCTATAGCACTATACTCCTAGTACCCTCGTGTTGTCTTTCTGTCTTGAGCACCCAATAATGTTTACTCAGCGCTTGAGTCCTATCTACCCGCTGACTTACCACCAATTGACCTTTGAATCCCTTTCGACGTAGGCTGTCCACCAGCCGTCAATCAACCATCCAAAAGCCGCTGGTCTCTGAACTCTGATTTCTGTCTTTCCATGCAATAGTCGCATCATAGTAAACTGATACCGCGTTCTGTATTCATTTAGATAGCATCAACCAACTTATAGGGCCACTGCTTTCGAAAAACATTCAAAAGACACTTTCAGCAAAATCATTGCTGCACAATGTACATCATTTGTCTTTACTCTAAATGTTATAAGATTTTAACAACGTTTGTTTCCATGCCTGTTCGTTGCAGCCTTGGTTGTCTCTCACCGTCCCTTTTCTCCGAGGTCCGGAACTTCTTGGGGATCTGGGATTGGACCGAGAAACCTCTTTTGTCCGGGACAGGACTACCAATAAGGACCTACGAAGCACACGGCTGTATAACAAACGGATTCAACTGCACTCATTACCATGACCGTTGACCAATGATGATAGCTGGACTCGAGAAATCCACACACCTGAAGAAAACACGCTCCTGAAATATCCAGACGCAATAAACTACGTTTCGCCCACCTGGATACCCACAAAGACGATTCTTCGTGAAACCGCCATCCTCGATTCGCCTCAGCCATTATGGCGGCCTTGCCCAAGATACCTGCTCAAATAACAGGAAATTAGAGGTCATTTGACTGCGGATTGCTGAGTGTGAAATCAGGCGAGAACCTGGCCTGCCAGCTGTATACTAGTGTACAAACGAATTTCTGACAGTGTTCCAGGACGTGGTGGGTTTTCGCCTGGCAAGCTTTCTCCCTATAAAAAGCAACAAATGTCCGTGTAACAACATTGCGAGGTGGCGGATGTGACTCGCCTCCGAATAAAGTCACTGCCCAGAGCTACTTACTGGCAAGTCGACCAGAATCATTATTCACTATTGCCATGACGCTTTCAATAATAAGTTACACCGTGCCTATACGTTTCGTTTTCATTACACATGTAGTGTCTTGACTATTTACACTACTCACGCAAGAATTCAAGGTTTCGCCATTCATTGAAGACTCTATCCCTCAAGACCACTTACACAATTTCCGCAGCCTGTACAACCTTCGGCTTACTGCCGAATACACTCATAGCAACGTGTTTGTTGCTAAGCAAAATTGCATGTAAATGTTGATCATGCCTTGCTTGGTGTGTCTCGACAAATTCGAGAATAAACTATTTATTTATTTATTTATTTAACGTTTTCCTTACCATCCGCTTACACATTCAACCTCTTTCCATTGCCTTAGTATGCCAATGGACAGTCAGCCGGTTACTTAACTGTGCAAAAATGTTGTCCATTATTGCAATGGCATACGTATAGAACAACCACTTAAGTAAAAATCTCCATAAATTAGATATTAAACACCGGGGCGACATTTACACACCTACATAAGAATACCTTACAAATACAACTCCTTCGATCCACCGTCTCTTCCTTGCCTTATTCATTCTTCCACATGGAGTTCGACCATCACATAGGTAAGCATTACATTTCAGCTATTTACGGGTTTTCATTCAGTCCGAGTTGGTTGGCGACATCCGCATACTCATTACGCCGCCACCGTCTATCACAGTATGTCAGTGATTAGATACCATGCGTGCGCGGTTATAATGCACCCGCTCGCAGTTCCAAACACGCAACGCCAACGCAGTGTGGAAGCTGAAGATATATGACAAGATGAAAGGAAATTATGGAAATGATCTCCGTGAAAAGGGGATAAACTATACACCTAGAAATATTATCGCGAGGTTTTCCAGATAACATGACCATACGGCCATTTGCCGAACCCCAGTCGTTGCAAGGCTTTGTATATGCGAGCACCATACCATCGTTTCTGGGACAGTAGGGCATAAATACAGACCTTACCAACCGCAATCTATGGACCTATGCAGCCAGCTTTGACCAAGTATAGCTGCATAGACGTGCACTAACATTACCAACACGCATATGCAGCGCATGATAATATTAAAATTATAAAGTGATATATATATGTCCAGGCTTTCCGCAATGCCGATATACTACGTTTAAATCGCCTAAAAGGTAAGTTACTCAGCAAGCGAAACGCACTTACTTGAAACCGCCATTAAGTTAGCCAAATTATTTATTCCAAAGGGTAAAAGTTCAACAATATCTCCACAATGAATACGTGTTACGTGAACTGTATCATTCCATTCACCTGAACCATCGCAAAAAGTTACATTTACGACCGTTTATCCACCTTAAAACTACCTATGTTAGGCATCGGTAGCATTGCACCAACTACGGTGAAGAGAAAACATTTGCAACGCACCCTTCAGTATAGTGCCTCTGGTAACATGTTTATGTGTATCAGGTCAGGTCAGGTCAAAATCCGTGGACGATACAGGCTTCCGCCTAACGAGCGTCCAGCTTCTTGTACCGGTAAGCAAACCAGAGCCCCGGCACTTCTACGTTTGATCGCGTCTCCTTGCCTCTGCAAAAAGAAATGAAGCAAAAGCGAGAGCAATCTTTGCTTTTACAAACAATCTTTGCTTTACCCGTTTACCTACGTATATATATGTATTTATTATGATACATTTGCACATATACTTGTACAGATGTATATGGTTAGCAGTATCCGGTCCCGGATTTGCCCATCTCTGTGGCCAGCCACAGGAGGCCTGCGCCTACAGAGGGACCATGGGTGACTTGCGCTGCACCACCCAATGCTCCAAACACACCCATATCCAGTGTAAACCCGGAGGAATAAACCTGGGAGGCATGTGGATGGGAGCCACATTTCATCAACGGAGCCGGCCCACCCTCCTTCACAGGCAAACACGAGAACACTGTATTTGGGGAACCAATTGCACACAATGCGGTGGCCGGGCCGTGGTTCGCTCCACACTGAGCGCATGGAACCGCTCTTCGAGCCTAGCACGGCCACAAGGACCGTGGGTCCTGTCCCCTCCAACAAAGGCCAACTGACTCCTGGAGCCAGTATAAACGACGTAGTGGGTAGTAGATAGGTAGGCAACTAGTTAACCTATATATATACATAACTCACCCGGCGTATATATACTTATATGCGAACTCAAACCATTGCAGTAACCAGACCTTTTCAGTAAATGTTCAGATATTGCTTTACGTATGTATATAGGTTTGTGTATACATATATCTATAAATAGACATATTGATTCATATTTGCTAGTTGTATTCCTTTTACATTTGCATACTTGAGTCAAAGCAATTACATACCATTAAATTTACAAATACACTTATCTTATAAATGATCCCTCACAGCTACCAGCATTACCCATTAGCATTGTAAATTTGATTGGTGCAGTTAGTATACCCTTCAATAATCATGCACATTGCCACCCTTCATTAACATTCCCCTACCTTCTCTAACGCTTCCGTGAATACTCCCCTTATCGGTCCATTCAACTTTCTGATGACATCATGCATTTCAACAACAAATTACCCATGCAATGCAATTTTTGCTTCCTCTGTTTCTGCGTTACCAGTACTAAAACGTTGGATAAAAACCGCCCTATCTTACAGCCTGATCTCGAAAAATACAACGTATACACTAATCGGACAAAAGATGTGAGTATCCCTTATCCAAGGAAATAAGTTACTTTTACCAGTTGCTTCATGCAAGCATAACTTTTGCCTACATGAATCAATCGCATTAGCACTTATTTGCTCCACAAAATATCCGTTCACACTTCAACTGTATTGACCATTTGCCTACGTTCGACTACGCCGTGGCCTTCAATTACATCTGTAGCCATCACTTTAATTTAACATAAGCGATTTCAGGAAAGATATCCATATACCATTATCTTTTATTTCGCATGCCGTCATACTATCAGAATTAAGAATATACTATGCAGCCACTCAAATTATCTTGGATGTCACTGAGAACAATGGAAGCGAAACCTTTTAACACCAACACAGAAATTACCTCTTCGCGGCGTACGGATTTGAAAATACTGTGCCTAACGCGGATCTGGTTTCCGACACATTTAAACAATTGCTATATCACATTTGCAAAGAATCGAATAGAACTGCAAAATCAGTAAGCTAGCCGAGAATAATGTTATAAACGACCATAAACTATTTATTGCCAACTAGGTTTTGCGGGTACCGGTGTTGCGACTACGCCGCAGCGTGATTGTGATATACGAGGTGTTCTGTTGATGGTGGAAAATACAGGGCTTTTCGGTGCGTACGCAGGTTTATTATGATGTGAATGTTGTTGCTAATATGCCAAGAGGTTAATTATAAATCACTATACGGAATGGTTTAAATACGTTACAGCTGTTAATCATTTTCCCGCTTTTAACGACAGCAGCCTGGCTGCACTAATCTAGCGCCTTTCGACGTACCTACAAGGGCCCAAAACTGGACTCTATAGCAATCCCTGTAGAAATAAAACTTCTCAGCTTGAAACGGCGACATCAGTTGTTCGTAAGAGCATGGTTACTGTGGTTCCCGAAGGCCCGTCGCAGTTGCAGTGGGAGCAGCAGCATACCAGCGCCCTCCAAATATAATGTAGGCAAGTATAAGTATTTGGCTACATGCATTTTGCAACTTTCGCCAAACGTGCACCAACATGTTTTTTGGTAAACAGTTCCATTCATACACCACCTGGGTAGAAATTGTGATACATGAGCTGGCATGAAGCCTTCGTGGTTTGGACAGCTTCCATTTACGACCTAGTGTTGAGCAGTCGGCGTTGGGATTGAAGGACCGTAGTTTCTCTCTTCCGACACCTCCAAGGATAAGGCGCCTACTGTCTACAGCCGAACTCCATGGAGTTCAGCTGGTGAAGTCGGAGGGGTATGGTTGTTTGCAGAGCCCGGAGACAGCCTACGTGGCACATCTTTGGACATTGTCTATCAAAGAGTACACAAACTTAGGAATTGAAAATATGGCTACTTGCCCATATTTACCTAGGCATCGCTAAGGTCTCATTTCAATTATGTCTTCGCTTTCATATACCACTTACACAAGCGCGCCATCCGCCGCCTTGCTTTCCGCCGCCATGGTCCCTCCTTCCGCCTCCCGTTACAACCATGTGATGCAAGCGTGCGCCGTGGGCCACGGAAAGGTCCCAGTATAATGAGGACATCGCTTTCTGAGCCAATATAAACATGCGTCGCTGTCCGCCGTAGTGGTTACCGCTACCACTGTAAACATGGCCCAGCAGTTGTCACCTCCCCGTCAGGTACGTGCATTTGACGACAGCTGTCAAAATAGCGCGTCCGGTTGCCTGTCGCCTTCCAGTTTCGTCCAGGGCCAACGTTACTTAGAGAACGGACGAACGGCCCTTTGCTGGGTCAACATTTGTCACTGTGTTTCGTTGCCCATAGCGCAACGAACACATGCAAAGTATGCTGCTTCCATGCAAAGGACAACAAGGCCACAGGTTCAGTAGGTGGTTCAGTAATGTACCACCGAATTCCGGGCACAATGCGTCAGTAACGTGTGCGACGCAAGCTTGCAAGCACTGCGCACAAACTTCCGGACCATAAGGAAAATGGCATGTTCCTAGCTGCAGCTACCCTCAACGCTGAAATTGAAGCTGTAACCGCAAATTGTTGGCGAACACTGTTTCCTGGGCTTGCTTCACATTTTCAGGATAATTAATGTACTTTTCGTTGCCACCTGTAAAACAGCAAGGGTTAGTACTCGGTCCACACCTGTTCAAGATATTCCTCAATGACAACCCGTGGGCGTTTTAGCCGCATTGCCTGAGTTACGCGCATGACAGAAAGCTGTGGATGAGGGTATTCTGTCTCGAGGAGGCTGACCAAATGCAGGTATCACTGGACACGCTACACGGCTAGTCAGTCACCTAATCATTACCCATGAATCAAGACAATTGCTCAATACTCCTCCTAGGGCCCCTTAACTGTCCGGGATGTATCACATTGGCGGGGTGTTACACAGAACCACCCGTCTTGAGAAAGCCATCGGTGTGCTTGTCTCACAGGAGTTACAGGCCACATAAGGCACACTACGGAACGTTGCCACTGCCAACGGGATGCCTCATACCATACGGAGCGCCTTCTCGCGGCTGACTCCGGAAACCTCCAGAATCCTGTTTACTCCCAACGTGCGCCCGATCCTTGAATGCGGACTACCCGCCACTGGTCCTCTTACCAAGTTGGAAGTTGACATGATTGAGAAGGTCCAGCGGCGTACTTCGAACGCAATCTTGGAGCTAAGCGGCCTGCCTTACCTTGGTTGACTACAGTGGATGCACCTGTTCTACATGGAATATCGTTGACGCCGAGGTGGTTTACTTTTTAGTAGTCGAATTCCGATAGGAAAAGCAGGATGGAGCTATAAGAGTTTTTTAAGTCAGCCCTAATAGTTCCACTCGGGGGCGCAAATGGAAACTATCTAAGCCCAGAAGGCTCATCGTTCGTTCCACGCTCGCTCTAGCAACCCGTATTGTAAATGAGTGGCACGGCGTTTCGAAACATGTGATCGACGCGCAGACCGCGGAAGGTTTCTATTGGTTTTCCGTTTCTCACTTAATGAGAAACGGCCGCTTGTGGAATAGGTCTCGTAGCATCTCACGGCATCCACACAATTATCGGTAAGTACAGGTGCTGACAAAGTATTTTCTTCAATTCTCTACAGTCAACTCATTCAGTGAACAAAGTTCGGTATTTTAGCTCGGCGGGTGATGATCGTTCGCAACGCTGCCCATTGAACGTGAACCTTTGCATATGGTTTGAGCTTGCGTTTGTCCACTTGCGAAAAACATATACACCCTATTAATTGCATTTCGTGCATAAGTACCGCATGGTGCTGCGCATCGGTTTACATCCCACTAAAGTTCCGTTATTCCCCAATTTTACATGCTCATCATTATGTCACGACACCCTTCCCAGAAGTGTGGTACCTTATTAGTACCTTGCGACGCATCTTCAAGTTATCTTAAAAAATTTTGATGTTCATTTAACAGCAATGGACAATATGGGCTACGTCTAGTTTCTCCATTAAGTAAACACTTACATACTTTATTCTCTCTTGGTTCACCACATTCACCACAGTAACCCAATTACCCCTCCGTAATCAATATAGTGTGAGGATTTTTATATTTACAAAAATCCAGTTATGTACAAAACCGTAATACCTCCGCACCGACTACCTATGCACTTTGATGAATGTGTACGATTACTTTATTCGTAGCCACTTTTCCTTGCGGGAATCAATCCGAATATATATAGTAAAAAACCCTTTCCATCAATTTCAGCAGGCATGCAAATTTATTGTGTAAATCACGAATTCCATGTATCCAAATTATGTCACCTTATGCAATCAACAACTTCCACTTCATTGGGGTATATCTGCCGTATATATATATATTTATATAGCGAGAGCGTGAGAGAGAGAAATCGGGACAGGTTTGGACACACGCGGTCTATTAGCTAAGGATTTATAATGATTCTGGTAAACATTACTTCCACAGCGTTACGACTTACACAGGTCACATTCACTGCATAGCAACTGCTAAACATGTACACTCATATACATTGGATACTTAACCATACATCATAACACTTATTTCATTTTACGGAAACACTGCGCTGCCTTTCGTAGCGATTTTTCCAATTCCATTACTTTTTTTAACCATTTGTTTACTGTTAAACGTTAAATTTTCATCGTTTACAAAACTTTGCACTTAAGGAAAGCTCGGTGCAGTTTTTCGCTTTTCGGAGTTCCTGACCAAATTATAAACACTTTGCGCAATAAATAATGTAGCGCCTTGACGAATGCTACACAAGAAAACCGTAGCCCAGTAAGACAGAAGACGGCAAGATATAAAGAATGTCTTGAGAAAATAGCTATGTACAATAGCTATGTAAATATAGCTTGAGGACAGTGGGAGAAAATGGTGAAGCAATGAGTAACACCACGTAGGAGCGCAACAGCCGGCAACGCGCGGGCAAGATGGCGGACCTGGTTCAAAATCGCAGTCCAGTATATATAGGCTTTGGACGGGTGCAAAGTAAAACAAAATGTGTACAAGTCTGAATGTGATGTTTGATGGAGTAAAATGTCATGGTCACTACACAGGCCTCCCCTAGAAGGCCGAGGGACGAGGACTTCGATCGTTGCTGGCTTGCAGATGTAAGAAGGCAGAACCATAGGAGTAGGTTAGTATTTAGATTATTTATTCTTCTTGTGGATTGGAATGCATCATCGGTGGGCCGTCCCAGCGGGCACACCGGACTACAAAAAAACTGGATAATCCAGAAAAAGGGCCGGTAGGACCTTTCACCGCTGCTGAAGGACGGTGCGCTTGGGAGAGATCACTCCCCCCACCGCATTCCAATCCACTGCCACAACGAAGCTGAAATCCTGTTCGTACCGGCGAGCCGTGGGGGGACCAAAAACAACGAGCCAGGCACACGAGCAGCCAAAGCCAGGAAGGCGAGCCAGACAAACGACCAAGGCGAGCCAAATTGAGCCAAGCAGACCACGATCCAAAGGCCAACGTGGGCGGGCGAGACGACAAAGCGTTGGGGGTAGACCAAAGCATCCAAACGACCAAACAATTGAGAAACAGCCAACCATTGAACGGACGGACCCAAACGTGCCAGCCTCATGACTTTACCTGATAGATGGGGGAAAAACTCGGGGAGACAGATTCAGATATTTACGGAAAAGCATAATACAAACAACGAGAGAAAATGAAAAAGATTCATGAGGTGTGGATGAATTCGACAAAATCGGAGAAACGAACAGGTTTACGAACTCTTCTACCGTGACTGGTATTAGTTTGAGGCGAATCTGGTGACTGGGATTGTGGTGGAGCTGAAAAGCTGGGCGTCGTTACAGGTGGCTCTGTAGATTGCGTTAAGGTCGATGATGGAACAAACTGTTGTTCATCGATGAACGCAGGCTTGACGCGATCTATCGAGACAGTATCCCTTTTACCCCCACGGTCAATCACCAAAGTTTTTGAAGACCGTTTAATAACACGGTATGGACCTGTGTAAGGTGCGGAGAGAGGTTGTCTCACTTGGTCGACACGTAAGAATACGTGAGAACATGTAGAAAGGTCTTTCGGAACGTGCACTGGAGTGCGTTGTTCCCTGGGTCTCGCGGGATGCAGCTGACGCATGTGGTGCGTCAGACGAGCTATGTAGCTCTTGTAGTTCCATGCCCTCTCCGGGGTTGGGGCGACTAATTGTCCAGGGAGACGCAATGTGCAGCCATAAACGAGTTCGGCCGGAGCAGCGTTAATGTCGGTTTTGACAGTATTTCGTAAGCCAAGTAAAACGGTGGGAAGCGCTTCGTACCAGTCTGCGTTATCATGTGCACATAGTGCAGCTTTCAGCTGGCGGTGAAAACGCTCAACCATGCCGTTGGCGGCAGGGTGGAATGCAGTCGTTTGGACGTGACGGCAGCCGAGGGTCTGAAGAAGGTGAGCAAATGTGCCTGCGAAGTGTGAACCTCGATCAGTTGTCACAACGGCAGGACAACCAAAGTGTGAGACCCATCGCTCTAGAAAAGCGCGAGCGACAGTGTCTGATGAGCAATCTGGCATTGGGATGGCATCAGGCCATCTTGTAAAGCGGTCTATACAAGTCAGCAAGTAAGCGCATCCATTAGATGGGGGGCAGTGGCCCAACAAGGTCAACATGAATATGGTGAAAACGGGCATCAGGAAGTGGAAATGAACCCAGCGGACTTTTCGTGTGTCGATGAACCTTAGACTGTTGGCAACTAAGGCACGTACGAGCCCACTGTCTAACGTCCCGATTGACGTTGCGCCACACGAAGCGTTGTGTGACGAGCTTAACTGTGGCACGAATGCCTGGATGTGATAA